CATCAGAATGACTCATTGCCATAATTACATATGTTCTAAGGGGTTATTCCCATTATATTGTTAAAAACTAGTGATGTTTGATTTTTGGCAGGGACTGTCTTCCTTGTATGATCTACAGATTTTGTCAATTAAATGAAGGAAAAGTAGATTTCCAAGACTTCAGAACAAGACTGGACTTGTACTCAGAGCACTTTTTCGGTGTGGTATTGAGCTACTTTGTTTTATTTAACAGGATAAAGGCAACATCAGCCATCTTACTCTCCTTGTTGCAGTGATTCCCGGCAGAGCACAAGGACAGAAGTGGGTTTCGTAGCTAGCCTTCAAAATCATCCCAAGCATGGCCAGAAGATACCTTAGATGGTTTATCACCACAGTAGTTTTCCCAACTCACTTCCTCAGGAATACGTTTTCAGGGATATAGTTTACCAGAGTAGGAGGCAGGGCTCCTTGGCAAAAGGCTCTGGGTTTGACGGCTCCTTAACAGAAAAAAACAAAGCAATCCCAGATATTATTGCCTTGGATCTGGAGTTCCCAAAATGGCGACTGAAAGCAACAGGGGAAAGCTGGAGGAAGGAGAAAATCTAAGTCAAGCAAAAAAAGCAAAAAGGTGAAGAAGGACTTTGGGACCTGGGCTGTGCTGTGCCCAGCAGAGTTGAGCCCTCAGAGCGAACATCATGCACAGTCCTGCACAGTTCTCACAAGCTTGCAGAGCCTTCTGCTTTACTCTTTGAATGTACGCCAGCGCTGCAGATCTCTCTCACAGGAATTAAGTGTTTACTAGCAATCTGGAAGCTAAAGCATTTACATATAAATGTTTTACTTTTGTGATTTGATTTTAATAGTCATGAGAAGTGACTTCTTTTCTGGAAAGCTGCACACGCATGTTCGCCTTGCACATCGGAGGATTTGATGTGTCCTTTTGCAGGCCGTTTCAGTGATGAATGGCAGATGAAGTTCTAACTAGGTGGTTTAGCTTGTGCTGTAAATAACAATATGTTAACTACCTGGTTACCTCTTTTTTTTTTCTTTTTTTTTTCCCATGAAGATCCTGCTGCTTCTCAAAAATCATGGAGATTCTGGCAAGCAGCTCCATCTAAACTATGGTTTAGCATTCAGTTGGGTATAATATATTATCATATATATAAATGCCATCGGCATGGCATATTTATGGTGACTGGTTAAATACAGATGGTATTTCTGGTTTTTTAATAGAGGGTTTTTTTTAATGTTATGCCTAATATCCTCTCTGTGAAGACTATTGACTTAATGAAATCTGTAAATATATATAAAATAGCCCTTTTAGTGTTCTCAGATCCAAGTAATGGTATTAGAGATAACCCGTTTCACCATCCTACGCTATTTCTTTTAACGAAAGCTAAGATTTCTTCTGAGTGACAAATCATTTTAACATAAACATGAACTAAAAAGTATATACATTGCCTCCATGTCCATGGGGGTAGAAAGCTAGTAAATTACTGTTTGAGGAGTATGTGTGCACACGTTTGACTTGACTGTAGCAGATGAAAAATACAGATTTATATTACACAGAGAAGATAAGAATATAGTACCACCCACTGGTGTTTGGTGAAATTTGTCTGCCTTAGCTTCTAAATCTTGGCAAATGAGATAGAAATGAAGGAGTTCCAAACCCACAATTGTAAGGTGTTAATATATTATTCCTTGCCCTTTGTTCCCCATTATGTGGGATGAATTACCCAAAAGCTCAGTAAACTGCCTAGAAACTATCCTGCGGATTTTTAGTAGAATTCTGTCCAGTGAATAAATACCAGTTTGTCCAACAGTAAAATTGAAGACGTTTTCTATGCAACAGAGTTTCTGACAAAGGATCTATCTGTCTGTTTATACGTCTAGCAACTACTTCTCCAGTTCAGCAACGAGGTCGTCAAAGTACAGAACATGAATATGCAGAGAAGTCGGAGCAGCAACGTTTCAATGCCATGATCTGTATAGGTACGTTTGGCTTCTGGATGGTAGACAGAAGTTCCTTAGGAAAGGCTCGCTCTCTCTAGACATTTTTGATTGGTTGGGATTTGACTCCAGTTTTGGTGAATAAAGCAAACAAAGCTTGTTCAGCAAACCCATTTATTTATTAGTTTAAAGAAGCATATTTTACAGTGACACCATGGAGAGAACACCACAACAGATTTTATTTGGTGGGCTGAAAGAGAGCATCCATGTGCATGTGAGTTGAGATGACATCAACCTATCTAAGGAAATCTCCGGCTTGGACTGTTGAGCTCAGCGTGCAAATCACATTGGTCAAAGGCAAAATGTTTCTAAATTCATAAATGAACCAGGTCTCTGGCAGTGGGAACAAACACAATTCTCGAGCTGATTAAAAAAAGAAAAGAAACTGGATTTATTTTTTATATTTTCCTCCTAATTTTTCTAAAACAATTTAAAATCACCCATACTGAAAAATCTTGGATTTCCTTAATATGCATTTTAAACTTTCCTTTGCCTTTCTCCCTGTTTCTTTCCATTTTGCTAAGAAAAAGGAAGAAAGAAGGGAAAAGCCTTCAACAGAAAGAAGTTTGTCAGTTTTTCTAGAAAACTCGGGAGAGTTCTATAAAATAGGTTGTGTTGATTTATTATATGCAGTTTACTTTTGAAATAGTTGTGCTAATATTGCCATGAGTTAGAGTAGGGAATCCAGTCAGTTAACAGAGCCTCCGTGTATAAAATCTTACTAATGCACTCTCTCTTCTCTCTAATCCTTGTTGAGAACTGGATTGAGATACTGCAGCGGGGGGGGCGGTGGGGGGGAAGGAGTCATCTATGAATTAGCAAGCTGAGGTTCATGAAAGGGTTACTGATTATTGCTGCTAAAAAGCGGAAGGGAAAAATGGTTCTGCTTACATGCAGCGCCATGGCACAAACAAAATGCTTATCTCACAGGCTAGCTGAGGCTAGAAAATAAAGTGAGATCTGATCTTTCAGCTGGGAGGCTTTCAGGAATCGTCTGAACATGATCCATAAACAACTCAAAGGATGACTTTTAAGAACCTCTTTCTCTCTCTGCTTGGTATGCTGGTCGTTTATCATTGTGCTGAAATGGAATCCCCTTTAAAAGATATAACGGCTTCTTGTTTACTTAAACACAAAGTGGATGATGGGCTGAAAGGTTCTGCTGCCAGCAGAGCAGTCACGGAGAGCTTGGTACAGCTCTGGAGCTGAAACAACTGTGCAGCTCCCACGTTCTGCACTGAGCCAAACCAGCCGCAAAGCGGACAGAGCGAAGGGAGAGTTTAGGTGTCCTCTGCCAGAGCCGAGACCTTGGCAGGCGCCGCGAACCACCGGCTCTTTGCAGGAGAGGACCAGGACTGTCGGGTGTGGGCAGGTGACCCATTGGAGCGAGCAGGGGGCTCTGCCGCAGACATCCCCGCACACTTGCTGGCTCGCTCTGCCCTCCTAAACCGCAGAGCTGAGAAGGTGGTATGAAAGCAAGGGCAGCGGAGATTGTATTCACCAGGTTTAGCTTTGGGGTGAGCTCTTCCCTGCCCATCACCTTACCAGGGGAGCTAGGAGCTTCAGCAGCACATCACTGATCCATCCTGGGCACATCTCTCGGAGCCACGGCACCTCCCCTGGCTCCATCCCTCAGAACCAGACGGCTTTTGCTGAACTGTAGAGGAATTAAGTGTCTGCACATGTTTGTATCGAGGAAGCCCATTTTAAAATACAAGGGGAACTGAGCGGTGTGCCACCTTCGGTGTGCCACCTTGTGACACTGCCGAGGGTAAAGCTCTCCGTGCAGAGAAGGCAGTGTTCGCGTGTGGGTCTCGCTAGTCTCTGTCCTGCACGGTCCTTGTCCCGGTTCCTCTGCTCAGGTGTCAGCTCTTGCAGAGCAGGAGTGCTTGTGCTGAATCCAGAGAATTCCAGTCAGTGGCATGCAGACCTGTAGTTTCTAGTAAACTTAAAAGTTTGCTTCTCTTCTGCAGAGCCCGAACTGTGCCTTCCCCCTCCCACCTGCCTTCCCTCCTGCTACGCCTGGGTGGTGTGCGGGCAGACAGACAAGCGTGTCCCTAGCCCGGGATGCAGTCCCGCAGCTGTGACTGTACAAGCGGACTCACAATGTTTCGGCAACCTGCGGTTTGTTGTAACCTCCCATTTTCTCAATCTGTTGCATGTTAACTGGATCCTTCAGTGGGAAATTCCTCAGGGGCTCCGCGGGGCACAGCTTGGGTCCTGCGAGTGCAGGAGGGCTGATTTGTGGCTGCAGTGCAGCTGGCAACATTTTCTGGGATTTTCTTAAAGCTTTGGTGAGCTTCCCTTCCACAAGAGAGTCTCTGTCCTGTGGGACACCAGCCTCCATAGGGGCCAAGGCATGAACCACACACTCAGGAAGCTGGTTGTCATTTTGGTTTTTGTTTTTTAATTTGAAATAACTCTTTGAAGCAGATTCAGGGCAGATGCCACTGACCTCTTACCACAAATGTTTAACATGTATTCGCAATGATAAAGTCATACAGCTTAAAACACAAAATAAAGGGTGGGGGGAAGAGAAAGAGGCCAGTGCCTTTGCGTGCATCCAGGTCCCAGGTCGGGGAGAGCGGCCGTGCAGGTCCAGTCTCACCCCTCTGGCTGCAGCTATGCTGCGCTGGGGCCACATGCCCGGTCTCGAGTTGAGGCCTTTGGTCATGAAATCTTGTGTCTGGGTCCTTCACTGACTCCTACTCCACCTCTCCTCCCCTCAGCATCCCCCGCAGAGCCCTGGGGAGGTGGGCTTCCTTCTGTGTGCGCTCCCACTCCTCTTCTCAGCAGCATCCTTCTGCGGTCCTGGGTGGGGTGTGTGTGTGAGTGTGTGCAGCCTCCTTAAGTATTGTGTACATGGTTTCTTTCGGGTCTGTGGGTCAGTCTGGGAGTATATGTCTGTCTTTCTAGACGTGTATGTGTTGTGTAGCAGTGCTCTGGTTCAATAAAGCTTTCATATACATAGCAGCAATGAAGTCTTGCCATCAGGTGACGTAAAGGGGCAGTTACTGGGCAGGGCTAGCAGATGTCGCAAGGACCGCGGCCCCTCTCTGTTTGCTCTTCCTCTTCTTGGTGCCAGACTTAGCGTCTTTGGTGTCTTTCCGATTTCTGTTCCCATTCGCATTATCTTGCTTTCCTTGCTCTTCCTTTTTCTTCCTTTTCCCTGCAGCAAAGCAAAGGGGCACTGTGAGGCTCTCCGGCAGAGCGAGCTGGCCCGTGGCCCGCTGCTGCTGAGGGTGGCCTGAAGGGCCTGCGCCCCTCCCCACGCTCAGAGGTGCCCAAGAGCCGCCCTATCTGACCGGCTGTGCTTTGCATTGTGAGCTGTTGCCTAAATATAAACAGGGAAGAAGGATCAAATCTGGATTTAACTTTGCAATTGTCAGTCTCCAGCAGAAGTGTTAACGCTTGCATTTCTCTGCGCCTGCATACCAAGCCCCTTAGCTAACGCATGCTGCTGTGTGCATCAGGGGAACAGATCGGCCGTGTTTGCCTCCCCCTGCCCGGCTGTTTAATCCCTGTGGTGTTAGTCACTACTCAGAACCAGTTTCCCTCAGAACACTCAACCCAGCTGCAATCCTTGTCCATCCCATAAGAGGATGACCAAACCACCATTCATCCTGAAGACACTCCAATTCCTGGGAAAAACGCAGACCTAAGCATTCTGGTAGAGCAGAAGATGACTCCTATCACTGCAGCACACAGGCGTGCACCTTCGGCTGCTCAGCTGCCTTGCTGCTCTCTGGTCGGGGAAGAGGCTAAAATATCTGAAAGCCTGGGGGACACATGGCAAGTCATGCTGAGCATCGCCCACCCAGGGGTCTTTCTAGCTGCTGTCACGTTGTCTTCCCTGTACCACGGGAGAGTAGTGAGATGCACAGTGCATTTATGATACTGGACAATTGGCTGAATACTTCTGCCTGACAAATAAAGGGTGCTGGGGAGGGATGGTGAGATATTCCACCTCTGCTTACCTTCGGGGCACTGGTTCTTCTGCACGGTGCATCGCCGCACCTCTGTGGTGGCAGGACACAGGGACACATCTCCGGAGGGAGCCTGCAGAATCCGCCGCGTTCGGTCTTCGTTGCCCTTCTTGAAGCCACAGAGCTTCCTCTTCTTGGAGCAGGGCCCCCAGGGCCCCCACTCACTCATTTCACATTGTGCTGCCAGATAACAAGAGAGGCCAGCAGTAACTCTTGTTTCTGTGTTGCTGCCTTAACACTTCCCGGAGCCCTCATGCACCATTGCACCTCTCCCCCACTTTAGGCTTGAAGGGTACACGTTTCCCCAGCAGCTTGCTAAGTTTTCAAGGCACCCCCTTCCTCACTGTACTGCACAAACTCTGAGTCACACTTCACAAACACGCGGCAGCAATGCTGGGGTGCTGCTCCCCATCTAGGCTGGTTTCCAGAGGGCTCTGCCCTCAGACGGGCTGGGTCTGGCCTGGACCATCACTCATTCGACCTGGGTGTGATGAGCCATCGTCTCCGAGGGGCACGTTTTATCATCTGAACCAAACTGTAGCAATACAAGCAATACATGTGACTGGGCCTGACAGATGCACAAAAAGCTCACTGAAAGGTGCCCGAGCATCGCTTACCAGGACTGCTGCACTCCATGGTGCCGTTGGCAGCAGAGTAGCCTTCGGGGCATGTGACGTAACATCTTCCTTTGTGCAAATACAAACCTTCCTTACATTTTGTGCAAAAGTTTCGACTGAAACAGGACTCACAGTTCTCAATTTTGCATTCTAGGGGGAAAAAAAAAAAACCACAAAGCTGTCATGTAGTCTGATGTGAGCAAGGGACTCAGGAAGCTCTTGACTGCTAACTGGAGCTTGCTCCTGGCTCCAAGAGGTCTGCCAACAGCCAGGGCAAGTCTCTGGACATCCTGCCATGCCTGGTTGTGCTACTCAGGTAGAAGTCAGTTTTCTTTGCATTGTTCCCTGGTACAGGACAGAGCCACTGTGCTGCAGCTCTGATTGATAGCCAGCAGCAGCCGCTGCCAGATCAAACTCAGGCAGGGTGGAAAAGGTTTAGGCTGGTGTTCAGCTTGAACATCGGTCAGCCAAAGTGGGACAGTGCAAAGAATAAAGTCCCGTATCAACTGCTCCAGCTGCAGCTACAGTATGGGCTGCAAGGAAACGGAGACAGAAATCTGCCCATGAGGGTGGTTTGCCTGAAACTGCCAGGGAAGTGATCGCATTTTTCCATGTCCAGCTTTTTTCTGATGCTCTGGCTGAAAGAGGCAGCCCCAGGCCAAGCATCTCATTCAGAGAGCTGCTTGGCTATGGTGAACAGGCAGAGGAGAGAATAAACTGTACTTGTGTGAGCAGTGCCTTAAAAGCTTGAAAGGATCTTCCTCCTCCTCCTTCCTCCCAAAGAAAGAGGGTGCCAGTCTGGCAGCCTAGGTAACAGAGCTTCCCAAATGTCCTGCAAGGTGCCACGTCCACAGCATACCTATGCGGTGTTGAGCATGCTGCGATGGGGTAACCCAGCCCTGAAGGCTTTGCCAGTGGCCCTCTGCTTTAATGGACCATTTGTCCATTACCACCACCTGCCCGCAGCACGGAGAGACCCACAGAGGCTCTCAAAGACCAGGAAGGCCAAAACTCAAGTCAAAACCTGCATGGCAGGGCTGATGTGGGGGCAGTGGATGCTTACCCGCCTTCTGAGGGGGCTGTTCAGGTAGTATCTAGCGGCTGCTCAAAGGGAAGGAGCATCTTAGCCTGGCTGCACACTGCACCAGCTGCACAGTGCCATGGCGGGGAAGTGCCTGGACACTCAAGGTGTGTTAGCCATCATGAGCATAAATTACGGGCTTATTCCCTGGGTAGACTGCTGCCCTGCTCAGCACTGCCTTCTCCCCTTCAATACAGCCACAGCATCTCCTCTCACCTGACCGAAGGTGGCACGATGCCCTGCAAAGCACCGCAAAGCATGGCCACCCTCCCGTGTTTTGCCTGTTCCCTTACACCTCTATACTCACTGATGCACTTGTTCATGTCTGTATTGCGAAGGCCGAAGTATCCCAGTGGACAAGATGGTAGGCAAATCCCAATTTGCCGGATATCGTTCCTCTCCAGAAGGATGAAGAGTTTGGGGGAACATCTCAGGCACCCATTGAACTCGGAGCACAGGTCGCAGCCTCTGGCACAGCCCTGACTCAGCTCGGTGCTAACTGGAAGAGCAAGAGAGAGGCCGTGGTTAGTGCCCACCGCCATGGCTGGGCTCTGCACACACCAGCTTTGACCCCAAAACACTGGCACCACTGGCAGGAAGGGCAGGGACTGGGGCAGACCGAGAGCCAGGGTCCTGCTGCACTGATGCGCTCGCTGCAGCTCCCAGCACTGCTCCGGCCGGGCGCCACGGCGCCGTGCATGATGCCCACAGGTGCCAGCGCTGCACCGAGCACGGTCGCAAGGGTCATGACAGCGGCAGCAGTGAGGAGCAGGGCCCAGAAGCAGCCACCGACTCTATGCAGAGTCCCAGCGCTGTCTCCCCACCAGCCCCTTGCCTCCCAGCCCTGTCCATCAGCCCTGCCACCTGTGCCGGGCAGACACCCACGAGGGACACGTGCCTGGGTGGGCCAACGCCTCCTCACCATGTCCCCTCTTGGGGCTGGCAGAGCCACCCCGCCAAGTTACGGGCACGCTGCAGGACGAGCGGGGACCAGAGCCGCACGGTGCTGGAGCAAAACTGTCTGACTAATTCTGCGCTGCGGTTCGAGCCAGGCTGTGTCCCAAGCTAGATCTCGCTCTGACCCTGCTTATGTTAACTATATCTGGCAGTGCAGGAGATTTCACTGCCTCCAAAATAGAGATCTGTTCTCAGCTCCTAAGTTCAGTCCAAGAAAAATACTCAGTCCCATGTCTTGAGAGTTTTCTGCTTTTAATTATCATATAAAATGCTGCTTGTTTTGAAACCAATAGCATTCTTTGCAGGCTAGAATGCAGGTTATTTTTATTAGTTTATTATGCAAGCAGTGTCCTTGTTTATAGAAAAGCTGTGTATTTAAAAAATATATTCTTTTAAATACTGTGTTTACTACACTTCAAAAGCAAGCGTGGAGCACCACGGCATTCACATGCCAGACCGAGAGGTAAGAAAACTTTCCTCTCCTCCCGCAGTGACCCGAGACCCTGGCAGCTCCCCTGTTGCTGGGTCTGTGGGCGCAGAGGCTGCTGCAGCCTTGGAGAATGAAACCAGAAAGCAGAGAGGGTCCCCAGCCCCGCGGACCCTCAGTGCCTGGCTGCCAGGACGGTTTGCTGGATCTGGAGTGGGATGTCCCCTTGGCATTTTGGGCCCTGGCCCCCCGTATACAGGGAACTCCAGGGGATCCGGCTCCATCCCTCCCTCAGTGCTGGGCCGCGGTGCCAAGGTCTGCCTCGATGGCAAAGGTATAAACCGGGCCCTTGCTGGAAATTGCACTTTATAGCATTAGCCATGACATCAAGTTTTCCTTATTCTCACAGAGCTCAGCAGTCTCAGTTTTAATATAAAATCATTTTAATATAATTTAATTTAAAACAGTTTT